TAAGCATGAGTAGCTAAATCCTTTAGTTGGCAAAACCAAGGGGAACCTCCTCTTAGGTATACCATTTCAACTCATGTTCCTCCCTTCTTTCAAAGTTCAATGGTCCGGTTTGACTGGGTTGAGGGTGGATAGATTGGTGAGTCTTTGATATTCTGTAGGTCTAGTCATGGTTTATGCTTTGATACTCACCAATATTATCTCTAGCTTCCCACGAATCAATCGTTCATTCATACTTTATTGGAGGAGGGTTTCGAGTTGAGATGGTATTCCTATTGGAGTGACCTCTTGGATTTGCCAACATTTGTTTCTCATTTTATTAGCANAACATGACATATATTGTGTGCTAATATGCCTTTTGTACTTGTTTATAGTCATGAATTTTGAGAGAAATGTGCTTAACTTTTTTTTTGATGGAGTTTTGTGTGAATGCAAGTAAAACAATGCAAATGGTATGAGTTATACCCCCATTGAAGTGGTTAAAGTCAATGAAGAAGAGGGGGTAGCTTAAAGGAAGGTTTGGATGGAGAAGAAACCAAAAAAATGGAATTGGGTTGAAGACCTTCTGGAAGGTGTTGCCTTAGATTTCTTTTTCACTACCAAAACCTTTCGGAAGGTTTTGCCTGCAGACCCTTTCATTTAACTGTTTCTGCACAAACCTTCCGGAAGGTTTTTGCTAAACTTTCCAGANACTTGCGCTTGGGGAGCACTTTTGTACACACACACACATTTTTTGTGTATACACATCTCATATTTCCACCATCTCATTTTCCTTACTCCTGGCCCTTTCTTTTGACACTATCCCAAGGGAGAGTGATACTTCCCCTATTCCTTNCTTCCGGAAGGTTTTTGCTAAACTTTCCAAACAACCTGAAACTCAACTCTGTAGCTTGGGGGCCCCACTTGCACTTCTCCAACAGACCCCCTGACANACTCCTGGCCCTTTCTTTTGACACTATCCCAAGGGAGAGTGATACTTCCCCTATTCCTTTAAGTCATACACATTTTAGGGGTAGTATTTAGGGGTTAAAGACTAGCAAGGAATTTTGTCAAGCAGCCATCACGTCTACGTCCAAGTCCACGTTCACCCTCCATCCTACACANTTACTTGGACTATGATGGCTTTTGCATTAACGAGGGGAGAGAGAAAAATGGGGGTTGGTCGTAGTCTACACCATGCAGCCCCTATGGATGGAAATCACATCACTCAGCTGAGAGGGAACTCCAAGNATCACGTCTACGTCCAAGTCCACGTTCACCCTTCATCCTACACATAGATTCACAATTTAGTTTCCTTGATGTACAAGACACCCTAACTATTACTTTAAGGCTTGCATAAGATTTGAGTCAACAATTTCATTCAACCTAGTCCTACTTCTCTAGTGGTAATCCATAACCTATAGATCCCATGTAAGAGTTAATTCCAAGGCTTTGATACCAAAAAATGTAACGCCCAAAAATCCACCGTGGACGACATTACTATCTACAACCATTCACTTCATGAAAGCAGCTAATATGATCCATAAGTAAAGAAGACTTCATTCATCATTCATAATATTTACAACATCATCCAAAAGAATATGTCAAACCATGGCCTTTGCATCCAAAAGAATATGTCCAACTATGCAATTACATCCCAAAAATTAAACAATAACTTGCAGTAGAATAACAAAATATTAGACTTCACATTGTCTTAAAATAAATCTCTTAGTCTAGAACATAAAAAGAACAGTTTTAGACATCCCACTCCGAGTCTACATTCCCATCAAGTTGAGCTTCCCAAGCTACCTGCTCGTCAACTCTGATCTCCTTCTCTAAACCAAAATCTGAAAAGAATATTGTTTATAGGGGGTAAGCACTAAGCTCTGTAGGAAAATCCTTGAAAACTTGGACAAGATTTTAAAAATATATAAAATGAGTCAGTCTCATTTCACAAATATCATATATAACTTTTGAAGGAAAACAGTAACATTCGATCTCAAGTTTACGCAATCTCGATATATAAAATGAAGAAGTAAAATCAATTCCAATAGTAAACCATTTCCACTACACTAACCAATAACCCACAACTTGTACTATTACCCACAATGTATATCAAGCCACAACTTGTATCTTTCATAACATTATGTATATATATCTCAGGTATGATGTATGACATCCCATGAATAAACACATCGAGAATATCCTGGCCCACACACACACACCCAATCCTCGCAAGGATATCCAACTTTAGGAAGGGCGTATACCTCGATAACACGTGAGCGAATAATGGTTTGGTCCTCGCAAGGCACCAACCCCACTACGAGTGGTAGGGAACCTTTAAAGCCACAAGGAGTAAGAAAGGCATCTACACCACTCTATGATACCCGGTCAATGACCAACCATAGTCATCCAAACATCCACAAGAGATACAATACAATCTAATTCCTCAAATCACAAGCAAAATCCAAAAATTCTCAAATTTCACATGTATGATTCCAATAGAACAATTTGAGAAAATAAGTAAGAGATCATCAATAATACCATTTTATTGTTCAATGCCAACCACTAGAGTTTTGAAATCAACCACAAAGGAATATTGAGAGAAAAATCCATAGTTTTCAAGACAAGAAGAAAAGATTTCATGGCTATTCACTCACAGCTTCCATCAAAACATGGCAATCTTTGCAAGAGCATCAAGAAATAATGATTTCATAGCATATATGTAGGATTAAGAGTGAAAACATACATATATATATGCTCTAACCTCAATGGACAAAAGTGGAAGGAAACCCCTACCTTTCTTCTTCCTTGGTGTTTTTGAAAACCTAAAAGTTTTGATCCTCTTCAATATGCAAATCCCTCTTAATCTTGTGTTTTCCCCCTTTTCTCTTCCTCTCTAAGACACTCTAGGGTTATAAATGTTGAAATGGCACTAAGATAGGTGTGCTTAAGTATTTATAGGAGGTCAAATGGTCCCCCGTGCGCGAATCTGAAACTCAGAATCCGTAAGTCACGTTCGAATGTCACTTTGGCGTTCAAACGTCAATAGTGCAATTATTGATTCACGTTCGAACGTCACTGGCGTTTGAATGTTAGTTGCTCCCAGTACTTTTTCATTTTCATCAGAGCTCTGCAGACATCAAAGTACTGGGACTTATTGTCGTTCAAACGTCCATTCACATTCGAACGTCCTCCCAATTTCTGTTGAAACTTCCGGTGAAGTTTTGACCTATTTAGAGGTCGTTTTGAAAAATTGTTGTGACACACACTATTGTAGCCCTGAAAGTCTACTATCTACTGTAAAAGCTTCAGCTCAAACGGACATCAAGGTAAAAAGTTATGGTCCAAATACTAAGAAGTGTCCAAAATTCTTTCTACCCAAATTTTATCTAAAATGTGTTTGAACTCCGAACTACTTCCTAACTTCCAATTCATATCCTATTACCTCGCCTAACATTTTTATTTCTACTTTTACAATCCGCATAATTTATGCATACATCATCACATATATTAGCATTTCAAAACATAATTACGTTGCTATATAAAGATAAGAATGTGGGGGTTTACATTTCCCTTCCTATTAAAATGGAGGAAACTCATTATTATGAGTTTCCCAGTTTTGACTTTGCACTTTCTCATTGTCCTCATTCCTATGAATTCGACGATGGGCATTGTTTACAGTTTGACTGCTCTCATCTCCATCAGTGGTGTCTTTCAAGAGCTTGTTATGTTGTTGTTCCTTCTGATGGGGATCGTCTTGGGTTGGCTGTGCCCTTTGGGGACACTAAAAGAGATTCAGCAACTCCTCATTCTGTTGGAGGAGACGCCAATTGGCTAGTCGAAGGGCCTCTAGTTTGTTGTTAGGTGTGGTATTCATCATGAAGGGATCGATTTCAAGTGTAGGCAAGAAATCACGAGGATTTTCTTGTTGCCTTCTAGTGGTAGCTTCTTATTGGTTATGTAATCCAGGAGGATTTATTTGAATTCTACTCATATTGCATGTAAAAACCATCAATTACTGAAGAAAATCAGTATATTTTAACAGGTACGATCGTTCTCATAGACGGTACCAACTGATGATGTTTTTAACGCAATTGAACAGTGATGTGAATATAAAGTGTACTGAATTGTTAGATTCAGTTCAGTCTGAGCCCCAAAACTCTAGGGAATAGGATTTTGGGGATAAGTGGGTGATTACGCAGAATATTTATAGTGGTTCACCAGCTCAGAAGTTGGGCTAAACAACTCTCAAAGGAATCTCTTGCTCTTAAATATATTGATTACTGTGTGAAGTTTACAGAGAATATTTTTGTAAGGCTATCATGACTTATCTTTTACTTTCAAGGGTTTTTCCTCCTATTTATAGCTATTCCTAGGTCTTGCTTGATCTAAGGCAAGACCATCGCTCCTTCCTTGTAACGGTTGCCCTTATTACATAATGAGACTCGCTCCCGTTGAGTGATTGATGCTACAAAAAGGGAAGACTCGGTGGGATCCAATAATCCTTTGCACAACCTTCCTCGAGATGTGGATATGTGGAGTTGAAGTTGAGGTCGACGTCTGTAAGTAATATAGATGAGCTGAACTCCCGACCTAAGTAGCATAACCTGAATTACCAAGTTCATCCTAAGATATTTTTGTGGTACCATCAGGAAGTACAAAAAAATTTCAGAGCATCAACAGGCTGACATATGCAGCATACACTGTAATCCATATCAATTATAAAATCAAATAAAGAGCAGCACAAATTGAAAGCAATTTTTGCTTCATCTGCAGTCCAAAAGTGCTCGTTCTGGTTGAGAGAGACCATATTGGACTGCAAATGAAGCTAAAAAGAAAAAGACTAGGGGTTAGCGGTACCCTAACAAGTTGCGCAACCTATCAAGTAGATAGTTAAGCATTTACACTTCAAATTTTGGAAGGAAAATTTTAATCGAATCAAGGATTATTGATATCAACAACTGGTCGAACTCAAAGCATAAGCTAAGTGATAAATAAATTTTGTGCGCCATGATTGAAAGTGTATATTAGCGTAAAAATACCAGGTCATCTCCACATAGAAGAAGCAAATTTTAAATAAAAATTAATGAGCAATACTTTATGAGGTATCTATGAAAAAGAAATCTACAGCAGAAATGTAAGTACGGTTAAAAATGCCAAAGCCACCAGTGAGGCCCGGGTAGAAGAAGAATGGGAAGCAGCTATCTGAATTGTAAAATTGCAATTCCCTTGTGATATGTTCTGTGTAGTGACCGTGGCCAGACCTTGGAAGTTACAGCTCAAAGCTGCCTGATTCTGGACCTGGAAGTACGCATTAAATGCATAGGAAGCGTTTCCATTAGTATCCATGCCATTACAAGCCGACCCATACTCGAGCGCTGTGCAATCTGCAAAAGTGCAAGCAAAATTGATATTATCCGCAAGCTTGCTCAAATCCTTAGCATTCGGATTAAACTGGCACCATTTGGTAGGTAGATACTGCACATTCTGTGCAGGCACAAGATACTTGTTCTGCCGCTGACCCGAAAGATCAATAGGAAACTTCGGTTGTCCATCATACCTAAAAATGCCCCAATGACGCTCAAAGTTTCCAGGATCTATGCTCTTGGCATCCTCGTCAATGAGCCCAAACAAGTATACTTCTACGTATCCAGGCCGAAGTGGGGTGCCCTGATTGGCAGCAAGTCTTGGTAAAAGCCCATTATAGAATCTATAAGCCAAGTTTGCATTTGCATTCTTGTCCCCATCTGTAGGCCACCCCACCTCACCCACCAAAATGGTTAGGTCACCAAATCCCGCTGCTTTCAAGGCCGAAACCAATGTATCAAAGTTGGCATCAAAAACATTTTGGTATTGAATTCCATTATCAGCAATGGGATTGCTTACCCCATCGAAAAATGCATAATCGACTGGGAAGTTATCATTGCCATAGAGACTAAGGAAAGGGTAAATATTTACAGTGAAAGGAGCCTTGTTCTGGTTTAGGAACTGAACAATCTGGGTCATTTGTCCACTGATATCTTGCCGGAACCGTCCAGCGGAGGGGACAGGATTGCTGTCTGGCGAATTGTAGACATCAGCATTTAGGGGCACCGTTGCCTTTACAGAGTCCCCAACTCCAGCTTCATTGAGGGCATTCTGGATGTTCTGAAGGGCTGGAAAGGTTAGATTCACAAACGAGTTGTTGTAGGATGCGAGGAAAGGCTCATTACCAACTGCCACATACCTGCACATAGGCAGAATTGCAAAAAAAAAAATTAAAAAAAACTCTAACTCTGCAGTTTAACAAACATGCCATAAGTCCAACCAAAACAGTGAAGACAGGAAATAATACTTGACCACCGAAGGTACAATATTGCAGTCTGCTTGATAATAAACTCAAACTGCTGCAGAAACACTTACATGCTAAAGCACGGTATTAGTTACAACAGAGACAAGAAGAGACTGCCTTTGAGTGATGCACTTCTCAAGAAGATAAGACTTGAAATTCTGACACTTTCCTGTTTATGACTTTTATCTAAGCCATTATTGAAAGAGTTTATAACTTCATCTAAGCATAATGGATTTCTACTTAGAATCTGTTCACAAACTGCCCCCAAAACTTCCCAGTGAAGGAAAAAATAGTTCTTTGATTATAGCCGAATTAGCACTCTAAAAAAAGTAGTAACCAAACCTTATAAAGAGTCTATGTCCTAATTCTAGCAGTCTCCCAAATACAAGACAAAATATGAGAATAGGCAGAGGATAATTCACCTATAAACCAAAAATATATGACATTTCATTCAAATAAACCCAGTTGGCTAGAGCCTTTGCCTTTGGCTTCACCTACCAAACGCGTGACTGTTTGGTAGGACAAGACTTCAGTTACTTGGACGAACCATATCCAAGTTTCTGGTGTGGGTCTTGAGTCCCCGGTGAAACGCAAGTCCTAATTTAACTAGTGTATGAGTTGATAGACCAGTTCATACACCCGAGTTTGCTCTTGGTTCTACTAAGAGTTACGACATAAGTGCCTCTCTGCTCCCTAAGGACAGACCATGACATTTCCGCGTAACCAAAAAAAAAAAATGAAAGGGGCAGTTCTATGGGATTTTGCGAATTGAAATNAATTTAACTAGTGTATGAGTTGATAGACCGGTTCATACACCCGAGTTTGCTCTTGGTTCTACTAAGAGTTACGACATAAGTGCCTCTCTACTCCCTAAGGACAGACCATGACATTTCCCCGTAACCAAAAAAAAAAAATGAAAGGGGCAGTTCTATGGGATTTTGCGAATTGAAATTATATTTAGTGTGCTCTATTGCCTCTACAATGGCAATGGAAGAATCAGAAACCTGAAACGCTAAGGCAAAATAATTCGTAAAACTGTCCGATTTTTATCCCATGTGAAGATCAAAATTGAATGGGAAAGAGTTAAACATAGGCAATTACATGAGTAGAAGAAGAAAAAAAAATTGGAGTGCTTTAACAGGCTGGGGTCTGGTCGTGGTTGTGCCGTACAAAGCTATTCGTTTTTATTTTTTTTCCGCCTACAAACTTCTAGGCATTAGGGAGTTCAAATTGCCACTCAGGGATTAAACAAAAGAAAATTCAAAATAAGGTAAAATAACTGTTGCAGGCACAAGTATTATAAAGCTACTTGAGTATTGCCCAAATCTGACGCAAAGCATTAAGTTCACAGCAGAAGCTGGAAATCACGAATAAGTCAACCAATAAACAAGTCCTAGCTCCAGCACAGATTTATATAATTCAATAGCAGTAAGTACGCTAACAATTCCTGAAGAACCTTGGCCTTTATGCATTAAATATTAATCACGATTTTGAATACAAAAATCGGTGAAAAATAAACAACTAGCACAATTAAAACCCTTCATCCAAGCAACGGTATGTAATTCAACAATATCAGTATCCATATATATCCAATTGAACAACGCTAGGTAGACACAAGAATACAGAGTATGAAATAACAGAATAATCTTTCTTACTTGATGTTAACACCTCCATTGAAATTGTAAACAGTGACATTGCGCCGCACCCACTCCTTAGCCCGATCATAACTGTTCATTGCGGCGAGCTGATCATTGGGAATGGCCACCATAACTTCAATTCCAGATCCAGCAAGAGCAGACATGGTGGACCGATCAGCATCAAACAGCTTCACCTTCTGAATTCCATTGTCTTTCAACATCTGAACCACTGACTTGGGTGGCAGCTTGTGGGTGGCCATTGTACCCCAGTTCACACCAAGACCTTCAACACATGTATTACCCAATAGCCACACGAAGAGCAAAACCCAGACATTTAACATCTTCCGGCAAAAATTAACTGGAAGATACATACCAAATGTGTTAGAAGAAAAAAAAAATGATCTTTTCTATGATGGTGGGAAAGACTTTCCGAGAAAAGAAAGGGTTTTCAAGCAAAAAGGTGTATTATGAGTATGTTACTTTTCTTTTTCTTTTTGGGGATGTATTAAAAAGAGAAAAAAAGGGTGGGAAAACCAACGGTTTTTGGGAGGTGGGTACGAGGGATCAGCGAAAATCCAGCGATATTTCTCCAAGGAAAGCTGAGATCGTGAAAATAAAATTACGTTGAAACTGGTTGTGGTGGGAGAAAATTCCCAAATAAGTAGAAACGTAAGAGATTCGAAAAATTTATCAAAACAGGAGAATATATACTTCAATGTATATACTCGTATAAAGTGTCAGTGGAACCCAAGGAGACCTCCACTATATGAACTGCGCCGAATGGATATGGAACCGCACAGTCTTTTGAGCAAGAAGGGGGGAAAACGGTATTGCAAGAGAGAGGCAAAGAGAGACCAAGGTGTCAGAGGTTGATGAAGACGGTTTAGGAAGCAGGCCAGAAGAGAAGTGAATACCAGAAAAATAGCCAGAAAAATAAACAAACCGTATGGCGAGAATTATAGTGAAGGGCTGAATATAAACCAAATTATATCGTTTTAATGGATGAACAATGACGGAAGAACAGTTGATGGGACTTGGGATGTGTTATCTCGTATCCCAAAAGCCCAGAGAGAGAGAGAGAGAAGGGAAACGCCACAACACGGAAAGAATCAACGTGTTTCCAAATCTGGGTTTTGCTAAAGGAAATAAAGTTATCTACGAAGGGAAGGGAGCAGTGTGTCTGCTTGTGAATATATACTTGTATAATTCGTGGTTACAAGTAGGATACAAAGCGAAAAAAGAAGGTAAAATTTTATTTAAATAATTTTGAGAGATATTAATATGTGTTAGATTAATCTATTTGAAATCATTAGATAAATTTATTAAAATATATTCAATTATATATATATATAATATTATATATAAAAAAATAGAATTAATTATACTAGAAGTCTCTAAAATATAAAATTTATTTTATTTGGATCCTCAATATTTTAGTTGCATCAATTTAGTCCTTGAAATATTATATATGTTTTTATGTGGTCTTTTAAGTAGTCAACAAACAAAATGCTAATAATTTTGATCATAAAGTTGTCATATGATATTTAAATATGGGTAAAAAAATAATTTGAATAGTTTTTAACAAAAAATATGTTATTTTGGTCGCTCTTGGCAAAAATTTGGATAGTTTATGACTAAAACTATTTAATTTTGATAACTCTTGGATCAAAATTTAAGTAAAAAATTAGTCAAAAATTATTTAAATTATATTTTTTTTCATATTTAAGTATCACGATAAAAATTTATAATAAAAAAATTATTAATATTCTGAATGCTGAGGGTCATATAGAAACATATTTTATGCTTTATGGATCAAATTAATATAATAAAAATATTAAAAATTAAAATAAAATAAATATCATATTTTAGAGACTTTTTATATTATAATCCTAAAAAATACGAACGCATAGAAATTGTCAAGGTGAAAGCGTTTGGCAAATTGGAGTGGAGCGGTAACGGCTACAATTTTGGGCCCAAGATTTTCAAAGAGATTGCCGACATCTGGAAAGTTGTTCTCCTTTGGAATTTGGAAACCTCTTTTTAAAGTTCGATTCTTTTTTGTTCTTTTCTGAGCTGAGTTTATCTGGATAAATTTCATCCACATCTTTTGTAAATAACTTTAACTCGAAACAATTACTCCCCCCAATTATAAATTTTTAACAATAACTTCAACTTGGGCGCTGGTTTGCTGGCGCTGGCTCGCGTCATAATAATGAAGAAATGATAAAATTTCAAAAAGTCATAACTTTACGTTTGATTATCCATTTGATGCACATTTTTATTTTTGAATTTAAATATTTTTTCGAAATCTACTATTGTCAAATTGTCAAAGGCGATTTGGACAAAAATTTTTTCCAAAAAACANGAAGAAATGATAAAATTTTAAAAAGTCATAACTTTACGTTTGATTATCCATTTGATGCACATTTTTATTTTTGAATTTAAATATTTTTTCGAGATCTACTATTGTCAAATTGTCAAAGGCGATTTGGACAAAAATTTTTTCCAAAAAACACTTACTTGTCATTGAATTTGAACAAGAGAGCGAAGCCTGATGCCCCTAGTACTTCTCAGTCGAGATTCGATGGCCAAGTTCCTTCTCGGGAGACGAGATCTGATGGTGCCCCCACTCTTTCCCAAGCTACGACTTTTGGGTGTATTAGAGCCTTCCCTAGTTCCGCTGTAGGAGTTGAGAATCTAGTGTTGTCTTTTACGAGGACCGGGGCTCCACATAGTTGTCCTGCTTCTAATAGCAGCTCGGTGTTCATGTTGCAGGACGTGAATTTGGCCAATGAGCGTCTTTGGAGGTTTGTGACTCTTTGGGATATCAGAGAGGATGGCACTCGAGGTCCAGAGGACATTATCAATACCGCAATTGAGAGATTTTGATTGAGATCGTGTAAAAATTGGATAGATATTTTAGATTAATCATGAAAATAATTTGGATACTTTTAATATTATATTTTAAGTAATTTNTTGGCACTCGAGGTCCAGAGGACATTATCAATACCGCAATTGAGAGATTTTGATTGGGATCGTGTAAAAATTAGATAGATATTTTAGATTAATCATGAAAATAATTTGGATACTTTTAATATTATATTTTAAGTAATTTCTTTTAACTTTTAAGGGATTATTTGTCATTACTTATTTGTTTTAGGATTTTAGTTTCCCTATATGAAGGGATGCATGTAAGGATTTCATTTAAACTAGACTTTTGATTATTATTAACGACTGATATTGAATATTTTGTTTTCTTCTCAAATTCTATCTCTTTTTTCATCTCCTTCTTCTTCTCTTTCTCATCTTTAATTCTTTCCTAATACGATCTACATCAATTTTGCATCAGAGCAAATACGAACTACATCACCTTAGTATCAGAGCTAATACGATTTACATCAATTTGGTAATAGAGCTAATATGATCTACATTAATTTTGTATCAGAGCCCAACTTCGATTCGTACAAATCACAAAAAAAAAGATATTGTTCATTGCACACTATTCATTACTGCTCTGGTCTCCAATATTCTAGTCTCGTTCCAATAGAAAAAAAAAACCAGTCGGAAAAAAAAAAAAAACAAAACTGTCCCTGCAGTCTTGAAAATTGTAGCAACATCTCAGCTATTCCAAAAATTACAGAAACACCACAAAATGTTCCAAAAAATTACAGAACCACCACCAAAAGTTTCAAAAATTATAGAATCTTGTCCCCCGATTGATTATGGTATGCATACTCCCAAAAAGTTTCAGAACTTTCTCTTGATTATGGTATACATACTCTCAGAGAATTTAACATTAATATTTTTATTCATTGAAAAATTAGAGAATTTGCAAAGGATCCAAAACACATTTTCTTCTATTTAAACTTTCTTGTAAATTGTCAATTGTATTCTTGAATTTTTTCTTATACCATTATCATCGTTTAAGAGTCACTCATGAGTTCCTCTGATGCACATGTTTCAAGAGTCTTTCACCAAGGTCATCATCATAGGAAGTATAGGGATGTTTACATGAAGTCAACCCATATGAACACACTAGTCAAAGATACTTCTATATTTAGTAGCACTTTAATCCCTTTTGAATTCTTGGATTGCTTAGCTAATTTAAAAGAATATTTTAATTGACATGGCATGTCAGATTCCCATTGCGTTTGTTTTGNTATTCTAGTCTCGTTCCAATAGAAACAAAAAACCAGTCGGAAAAAAAAAAAAACAAAACTGTCCCTGCAATCTTGAAAATTGTAGCAACATCTCAGCTATTCCAAAAATTACAGAAACACCACAAAATGTTCCAAAAAATTATAGAACCACCACCAGAAGTTTCAAAAATTATAGAATCTTGTCCCCTGGTTGATTATGGTATGCATACTCCCAAAAAGTTTCAGAACTTTCTCTTGATTATGGTATACATACTCTCAGAGAATTTAACATTAATATTTTTATTCATTAAAAAATTAGAGAATTTGCAAAGGATCCAAAACACATTTTCTTCTATTTAAACTTTCTTGTAAATTGTCAATTGCATTCTTGAATTTTTTCTTATACCATTCTCATCTTTTAAGAGTCACTCATGAGTTCCTCTGATGCACATGTTTCAAGAGTCTTTCACCAAGGTCATCATCATAGGAAGTATAGGGATGTTTACATGAAGTCAACCCATATGAACACACTAGTCAAAGATACTTCTATATTTAGTAGCACTTTAATCCCTTTTGAATTCTTGGATTGCTTAGCTAATTTAAAAGAATATTTTAATTGACATGGCATGTCAGATTCCCATTGCGTTTGTTTTGTTAAATTGATGTTGGAGGGTTCCGGTAAGAAATATTGGCACACAATCCAAAGAAGTCTAGACCCCTAAGGAGAATCACCTATCACATGGGTTGAAATGCAATATAAATCGAAATATAAGTATTTGCCTACTGATTCGACTTGTTTCGTGGCCTGCTTTATATCATACACCTAAGTATAAGTGGTCGATTTGTAGTTTACTCAATTTAAGTCCAAGATCAATGCCACAAAGAGTTTTAATAATAAAAATTTAAAATAAGAACAGTGAAGTTGTTGTTAAAGTAGTGTAACATAAGATAGCTTGTGATGTGAGCTTAGATTCATAACTAGTCTAAGTAAATGAAATGCGTAGTTAAACGGTTAAAAGACAGTAATATGAAAGGTACCCTTCAGTTTAAGGATCTCATATGCATTATATTGGTTAAATACTAAAAATGCCACCTTACAACAATTAACTTTCATATTACTAGAAAGTCAATCGATAGGTCTGATGTATATTAAACCATAACACAACAANCAAAATGCCACCTTATAACAATTAACTTCCATATTACTAGAAAGTCAATCGATAGGTCTGATGTATATTAAACCATAACACAACAACTTCTTAGGTTAGCTTGTAACGCCCCAAAACACACCCTGGACGGCATTACATTCTAAAATCATTAATATCATGAGAGCACTAATATAATCCCTTAAGAAACAAGACTTCATTTATCATCCACGAATATTTACAACATTATCCAAAAGAATAAGCCTAAGTCATGGCTATTACATCTCAAAAATTAATTAAAGAAGCGTAGCAGAATAAACAAAAGAAGTTAGACTACACAATGTTCCAAAAGAATGTTCTAGTTTAGTACAAAAGGAAAGGAGGTCGCCCTATGCGTCCACCTCAGGATCCACACTCCCGTCCAGTGGAGTCTCCCAAGTAGCGGGCTCATCNCCTATGCGTCCACCTTAGGATCCACACTCCCGTCCAGTGGAGTCTCCCAAGAAGCAGACTCATCGACCCTTACGTCCTCCTCTTCAAGCAGGTAATCTGAAAAATGTTAGCGATAGGGGGGTGAGCACAAAGCTCTGTAGAAAAATTCTCCCAAACTCATACAAGGTTTAGAAAAGCATTTAAAACAGTCGGTCTCAATTTTAACATAACATAAATACATAATTTGAAATAAAGCAATGACATTTAAAAAAGGATCTCAAGTTTATTTAAAAACATTACTTAAATGAATAAACGCACACCACATACAAATAATAACTATTAATTGCCATAACCAATTTTCAACAATTCTTTCGGTAGGTGGCATACTTTGTGATAACCACCACCCCCCTTTAAGTCACC